TGAATTTGCTTTTCTTTCACTTACATTCATTTTAGCTGCACTTCCATTAATTCTTTAACTCACAACTAGAATGATCTTTTCAAAATGCAGATTTGGTGGAGAGACACACCCACACACACACACAATTTAAACACTTTAATGGCTTTCCCTTGTTCTAAGATGAAAGACCAAAGTCCTTATCATGTCCTACGAGCCCCTTGTGATCTGGCACTTGCGTCTCCAGGCTTGGTTGACACTCCATTCAATTCTGTTCCTCTTCACTGTCTGTATTTTGGCCAGACTGGCCCCTTTTTAGTTACTTGCATGCCCACACCAGGGCTTTTGCACATGCTGTTCTCTGAGCCTGCAGCATTTTCCCACTCCTCTTTTCCTGATTAATTCCTGTTCCTCTTTCAGGTCTCAATTCAAGCATCAGTTCTTCAGGGAAGCGTTTCCTGATCTCTCGGTTTAGATAAAATTTTCTTATTAAACATTCCCACAGCATCAAATATTTCTCCTTTGTATATATTTTATATATATATATAATATAATTCTTCAAGTGAAAGTTTACAGTTCAAATTAGTTTCTCATACAAAAATTTATACACACATTATTATGTGACCCTAGTTGTTCTCCCTATAATGTGACAGCACACTCCTCCTTTCCACCCCGGATTTCCCATGTCCATTCAGCCAGCTTCTGTCCCTTTTTGCCTTCTCATCTTGCCTCTGGACTGGAGCTGTCATTTAGTCTCATGTATCTATTTGAGCTAAGAAGTACTCTCTACATGAGTATCATTTTATGTGTGACAGGCCAGTCTAATCCATGTCTGAAGAGTTGGCTTTGGGAATCCTTTTTATTCTTATTACACTTTATATTCTTGTATTTTATTTTTTGTGTGTATGTGATTATTATTAATCTGTGTGCTCCATTAGAAGCTAAGTTCCACAAGGCTGAGGACCATGCCATTTTGCTTCCTGTGGCGTCTTCCCAGCACCCATCACAATATCTAGCACATAGAGGCTGTTGATAAATATTTGTGAAAGAATATAAACTTTTTTGTTGGCTCTGCAACTGAGTTGGAACATGAAAAAGCCAACATTAACTTTTGGTACTTCTCATGGACATCATTTTGGCAGGGGTGTGAAGAAGCCAGACTAGAGACATAGTGAGGAAACATCTCTCATGGGGTGATGCCTATTTATTTATCTATTGTTGTAGTTTAAGTGAAAGTTTGCATTTCAAGTTAATCTCTTATGCAAATATTTATACATACATTGTTATGTGACCCTGATTGCTCTCCCTTTACTGTGACAGCACACTCCTCCTTTCCACCCCGGATTTCCCATGTCCATTCAACCAGCTCCTAACCCTCTCTGCCTTCTCATCTCACCTCTGGACAGAAGCTTCCCATTTAGTCTCATGTATCTACTTGAGCTAAGAAGCACACTCTTCGTGAGTATCATTTAATGTCCCATAGTCCAGTCCAATCTTTGTCTGAAGAGTTGGCCTCGGAAATTGTTTTAGTTCTGGGCTGATAGAGAATACTGGGGGCCGTGCTTTCCAGGGTTCTTCCAGTCTCAGTCAGACCATTAAGTCTGGTCTTTTTACTAGGGGTGATGCCTCTTGATAGAATTTAGATTTTGCAGTTTTCCTGTGAATACATACTGAATATATTCCTATGTCTAATATTTACGTAGTTCCAAATTTCTGTTCACAAAAACATTGGGTGACAGATTTATCGGTTTTTTAATCTGCCAGGTTTTTATATTCTAAACATGTCATTCTAAATATTGGCCACATGGTTTTTTTATTGTGTTACAAATATACATAGCAAAACATTTGCCAGTTCAATTTTTACATGTATAATTCATTGACATTGATTACATTTGGCCACGTGATTTTGTGTATAGAAGTATTTCGTTAAGTTCAAAGATGGTCTTGGTCATTTATTTGAAAGATTTGAATATTTCTTATATATTTGGGATTTGTGCTAAGTGGTAGGTATATGGTGTAAAGTAGACTTCTGCCTTCGTGATACATGAGAGACAGAGGGAGAATGAGAGAGAGTAAGGAGATGGAGAGAGGGGGGCAAAGAGAGAGATTAAATAGGTTATCAGCTGAACAACACAATCAGATAGTTAAAAGTATTTATAAATGATGAGACTGAGTAGAGAGTAACTGGAGTAGTCAAACTAGTCTTCTCTGAGCAGGCAGCATGTGAACTGAGGCGTACAAGAGGAGAATGAGCCAGCCATGTGAAGAGCTGAGGAAGGGAACATTCTAGTCAGAGGGAACAGCAAGTGCAAAGTCATGGAGGCAGGAAAAGACATAGTCTAGAAGACCTTTGGGACAGTTTTACTCTTTCACATGGGGTTGCTGTGAGTTGAAACCAACTCTACGTCATCTAACAACAACAAATCATAGTGCAGTGTGGTGAGAGGGAGTGGCATGATGTGTTTGGAAGAACTGTGAGGGACCTTGTTGATGGATGAGCCTTGGCAAACCATTTAACCTGCCATGCAAGGCTTTTTGTTATGTGGTCCCCTCCTTTAGCTCCTGAAAGTTTCCCCAGACACTCTACTCTTCAGGTGTGCCAAAGCCCCCTACCATCCCCCCACCCCTCCCCGCCCCATTTTGCCTTTGTGTCTTGGCATCTTCTGTCCCTGCTGCCTACTAGTCTGCCTTTAAATTTCAGTTCAGTCTTTGCCTCCTCTGGGAGACCTGAATGTTTCCCAGTGCAGACTTCAAGTCTCCTTAGTTGGGGTCCTTATTGCCCCTTACACGTTTCACATTATGTTAAAATTGATTACTCCACATTATGTTTAAGATTCAACTATGTTGATATGTACAGTTCATTTTCATTGTTCGGTAATATTTCATTGTATGGAGAGAAACATCATACTGATGGGCATTTTTTTTATAAACCATGCTGCCATGAATATTCTGGTACATGGTTTCTTGACTGTGTGTGAGATTCTTCGCATTGTTTTTCAGTCATTTTTGACTGTGACACAGAAAAATAACATTTTATGGCATGACTCAGTTTATAGGTACATATATATTAATAACTTTTAGAAACAGTTTAGTGAAATTATATTTACCATTCATTCATGTGATGTACTCATATTTTTTTCCCCTTTTAAAAAAAAAATACTTGTTGAGAATAAATTAATGAGTTGTTACTGTTGTGACCAGCTGTATGGTGTGTGTGTGTGTGTGTGTATAAATGGGTGGATTGTGTATATATTAATCTAGAACTTTATTAGATTTTGCCAAATTATTTTCTAAGTGGTTATACCAATTTATATTTGGCCTGGCCTCTGAGTCTGGGACCTTAGCTTTTTACCTTTTTGCCCATGGTCTTTTAACAGCACTTAACTCAGCACAGAGTTGGGAAGTACTCAGTAGTTTGAGTGAAAATGAGGATTTCCCACCAATAATTGAACACCTACCATGTTGAGCAACCACTGTGTTAGCAAGGCAGTTTTAGTAAATTTTATAAGGCTAATTCAGTACAGTGGATAATTCATTTGTAATTTTGGTTAGGCTTTTAAAAGTCTATTTTGGGGTGTTTCTAACTATATTGTTAAGAAATAGTGGTTGTATTCCAAGAAAACATACATTAACTAAATGACATTATTATTTCAATGGGTAAACAGTGGTTGGAGTTAAAGTTTTCCATAAGTAATAGTGAATTTCTTTTTTCTTTGCAGGGGTCAATAGAATGGTTTTTATAACCTTAAACGTATAACACTTAAACATCACTGAGCATTTAATTACATCTAGCATTTGTTCCACAATAATATAGCCATTCATTTTCTATAACTGCTAGTGTTATTTTTAGCACAATGCTTTTACACATTTTATTCCCTTTATTATCTTTTGTCATAAAAAGCACCACTATATTGGGTGCTACAGCTTTTTACCTGAAAGGACAGTTACTATCATATGCAAATGATACTTCCTAATTAATTAATTCAGTCACTTAGGTATCATTTGCTGCATCAGGAAAATGGTGCTGTAGAGAAGAGTCTCCATTTGAATTTGAATATTGGTCTGTCAGATATTCTGGGGCAAATCATTTTGTTTTAAGGGGAAAAAAAAGCAGTCCTTGGAATTTGTTTTGTAGACCAGTGTAGAAACTTCTCTAGAGGACGAAGAGTACTGTGCTTGCTATGATGTTTCAAAGTTTCTTAATATGACAATAACTAGCACTTAAGTAGTGCTTTAAAACTTCCAAACTATTTGCCATCTGTAAGCCTTTCCTGAGCATTGAGGGCAAACAATCCTAACTTTATTTAACAGATGGGAACTTTGTTGCTGTGGTTGTTACTACTCCATTGTTATTTATACAACTCCAAGGTGGCAAAACAGACTGACAATACAAGTCCTTTGGCTTCTAATTCATTTTGACACTGGTAGCCATCAAACAGATGTTTAGAGTATGTCCAGATGTATGTTTGCCAATTTATAGGTGTCATTTCTCAAATTTAAAAGCAGAATTTTTTGGGGTAAGTTGTATGTGTGTGATTTACCCCCTGTGTAATAAAGGAAATTTTGGGGGATGTGGTTAGTTTTATTACATTCTAATTACTGACTTTAACACTGTTTTGTAGATTAACTCTTAGCTTTATGTACATAAAAATTTTTTTAAGTTTGATTTTGTTATTTTTTACTGTATGTACATGTATTCTCATAATCAAGTGATTTAAAGAAATCTGTTAGATATGAGCTTCTGAATATTTGATATAATTCTCAAAAATATTATTTTTATTTTGTTAATTATACAAGTTATACGTGAAAATATTGTATGCTACTGAACAAAAGTTTGTATTCTTAATTATAAACAATGCCAAGGCACATCTCTTCTTAGCAAGCAGCTTTCAGTACCATTTGAAGATTTGAGTGTAATTTCTATAACCTTCCACTATAAAAACCCAGAATGCTTCTAGTATGCTGCCATGATGTTTATTTTAGTTTTTAATGCCTGCTTTCCTTTGTTTCTTCTCCGTAATTAGGTCCCCGATGGGCTTCCTGGAATATTGGCGTGTTTATTTGCATCAGATGTGCTGGAATCCATAGAAATCTTGGGGTTCATATATCTAGGGTCAAGTCAGTCAACCTAGACCAATGGACACCGGAACAAATACAGGTAATCTTTTTCTTACCAAGAAATTATTTAAAATATTTAAAATGAATGTAAATCCTTAACGTTCCTTGCATCTGAGAGTTAACATTGAAAAGAAGTATATTGAAGTGGCATGTGCCACGTAGAAGATTTAAGCATTATTTGAATTGTCAATTCAGATGTTTATTTCTTTTTGAGTCTATAGTAAAGCCAGTTTTTTTAAGTACCTATTTTTATCTAAAATTTTGATTTAGAAGTACTTGAAGAATAAATTCCTTTTTCTTGTATTGATGAAATTTGCCAATATAATTCCATAGTTTGTTTTGTTTTCCTGTAGTAGAGGGACCCTGGGTAAAGATAAAGAAAAAAAAAAAAATCTCTAAGAGGTGACTTGTGGGGTTTCCCTTTTATACAGAGGTATATTTGATTTTTAGACAGGGTCTAGTTGCTAGAAGAAAGCAGAGTGATCAAATGTTCTAATGACTGATTTGGACTTGTTTAGAGAGGTGTGGCTTTGTTAGAAATAAATTTGGAATTTTAAGGGATTGCCAGTTTTCTAGTATGACAGTCTTAAATTCTCAAAGTCTTACTTTATAATCCTCAAGGTTGGCTGCTAATATAAAAATGATTATTTCTAGTGGTCTTATTTTGTAATTCACAGTGAAATCACACCATTTTTTCTAGTGCCGTTTTGAAATTACTTTTCAGTATGAAGGCTAAATACGTAAATATATGTGGTTGAATCTCATACATACCCAGAGTCAGAAGCAAGTAAAAACACGAAAATTTGTCTGGATGAGGTGAGGTGAGGGTAGAAAAAATAGAGATCTGCAGACTATAAAGTCAAACAATTAATTTTGTGTAGTTTCAAATTAGGTTTTTGAGACTTTATGATCCTTTATGTAGTTTCAAGATTCTTGAGGAAAAAACGTACTAGTTATATCAAGGAAGAAGAGCTTTTTGAGATACTTCACATAAGACAGTGCTCTTAAAAACGTCTCTATAGTAAATGTGGTAACAGATTTCTGATGTTTAAGTCTTCCACAAGAAAATCTAAGGAGTTATCGGAAGATGTAACTTGGTGTTTGCAATGGTTTATGGAGGTACAAAACATTGTAGGCCCCAAGTAGATTGCCTTTTTAATAGTTCATTTCGAACTAAGACAAAACATGGAATCCTTGTGTAATTCAAGTACGTTTCCAGAAATATTATTTTTCTCAAGTAGGCTGTTGAGAGGAGTTGTGAATAGAAAGTTATTTGTGGTGAGTGTTCTGCCTTGGGACTGAAATGCAACTATTTTTTCTGTAGCTTTGAGTAGAACCTCCCAATCAGAGGGCTTTGATTCACTGGTAACAGGTACACTGCAAGATACTGAATTCCATACTATACAGCACAACCTTTATTTTAGCTTAGACACTTTTAAGACAAGTGATTCTAGAGAGGCATAGAACAAAGTGATTAAGAAGGTGATCTCTAGTATCAGATTGCTGCAGTTAGACTTGTGTGATGTCGAGTGAAACTGAGTGCCTCAGTTTCTTCAGTTGTAAAATGGGAATAGTAATAGTGCCTACCTCTTTGGGTTGCTGTGAGGATCAAATAAGTTAATATGGGTAGAATATTTAGAACAATACCCAGCACATTTTAAGTGCTCAATAAATGTTAGCTTGTTAGTTACTAGTGGTATTAGTTCATTTGTTCGTTATGTAAAACCTTCAGTATAGCTGCCTTGAATATCTTTTTGATCTTAGGCAATTTAGCTTCCTAGTTAATCTGCTGTGATGAATTGGTTGCTGAATGTACTACTGAGTAAGTAAACAAAATAATCCATTGTGTAGTAGTATTGTATAGAAATAAAATTACTTTTTGAGAATATTTGCCAAAAATAATTATTTCATTTTAGTAGTGTTGGATGTTAGGATGTTTTGACGTGAATAGGTAGTCATATCAATTGTCCATTGAGGCTGCTCCTCATTCAGTGAAAAAAAAGAAAATCTTGTTTATATCCTATTTCCTATGGTAGTATGTTCCAGAAATCCACTCTGTTTATACCATGACATTTTATTTTTATCTTTTTACTTTAAAAAAAAAAAAAAGTATTAATTATAGAGGGTACAGTTCAGAGACGTAAGTGAGTTCTTTGGGTTTTAGCAAATATCTACACTGTGTAACTAACACCCCCAATAAAAACACAGAACATTTTCATCACCCTGGAAAGTTTCCTTGTGCCACTTTTCAGTCAACTCCTCTGATAGCAACCACTGCACTGATTTCTGTCCTCTTAGTTTGTAGTCTTGGTATACATGACATTTCTGCCTTTTGGAATCCATTCCTGCTGACCCTAACTCTTATTTCAGATTAGGAAATGTGATGATCACAATATGTTGTACTGTACCATATTCATATATTTTATATTAAGAATTTCTTTGATATAAGAAATACCTGGGAGGTATTTATTTGTAGAAATAAGAGAAGTACAGTTACTGCAGTAAGTTCTACTCTATGTCTTCTCCCATCACCACCCCCAACATTTCATGATAATCATGTTTCCGATTGTCAAATATGATACTTAGTTTTGGTTAGTCCTAATCCATTATGAGTTGGAACTGACTTGATAGCACCTACCAACAACAACAATCTATATTTGTACCCATTCCAAAGAAAGGATACAACAGAATATGGAAATTATCGAACAGTATTATTAATATCAGATGCAAGTAGAATTCTGCTGAAGATAATTAAAAAATGGTTGTAACAGTACATCAACAGGGAACTGCCAGAAATTCAAGTTGAATTCAGAAGAGGATGAAGAACAAGGGATGTCATTGCTGATGACAGATAGATCTTGGCTGAAAGCAGTGAATACTAGAAAGATGTTTATCTGTGTTCTATTGACTGTGCAAAGGCAATTGACTGTGTGGATCCTGACAAATTGTGGATAACATTGCAAAAAGTGGGAATTCCAGAACACTTAATTGTGTTCATGCAGAACCTGTACATATACCAGGAGGCCATTGTTTGAACAAAACAAGGGGATACTACGTGGTTTAAAATCAGGAAAGGTGTGCATCAGGGTTGTATCCTTTCACCACACTTATTTAATCTGTATGTTGAGCAGATAATCTGAGAAGCTGGACTATATGAAGAAGAATGGGGCATCAGGATCAGGATTGGAGGGAGACTCATTAACAGTCTGTGATGTGCAGGTGAGACACCCTTGCTTGCTGAAAGGATAAAGGACTTGAAGTACTTACTGATGAAGATCAAGGACTACAGTCTTCAGTATGGATTACACCTCAATATAAAGAAAACAAACATCCTTACATGTGGACCAGTAAGCAATGTCATGATAAATGGAGAAAAGATTGACGTCAAGGATTTCATTTTACCTGGATCCACAATCAACACCCATGGAAGCAGCAGCCAAGAAATCAAATGACGTATTGTGTTGTGTAAAATCTGCTGCAAAAGACCTCTTTCCAGTGTTAAAAAGCAAAAATGCCACTTTGAGGACTAAGATATGCCTGACCCAAGCCGTGGTATTTTCAGTCACCTCATATGCGTGTGAAAGCTGGACAGTGAATAAGGAAGACTGAAGAAGAATTGATGCCTTTGAATTCGGGTGTTGGCGAAGAATATTCAATATACCATGGACTGCCAGAACAAACTATCTTGGAAGAAGTACAGCCAGCATGCTCCTCGGAAGCAAAGATGGCAAAACTTTGTCTCACGTACTTTGGACGTGTTATCAGGAGGGACCAATCCTTGGAGAAGGACATCATGCTTGGTGGAGGGTCAGTGAAAAAGAGGGAGACCTTCAACGAGGTAGATTGACATAATGGCTGCAACAGTGAGCTCAAACATAGCAGTGATTGTGAGGATGGCGTAGGACTGGGCAGTATTTCTTTCTGTTGTACATAGGGTCACTCAGAGTTGGAAGCGACTCAATGTTACCTAACAATAGTAGCAATCATTTTTAGATCTTATATTAGTAAATGTGGAAATGTGATTTAGTTTCTGTGCCCAGTCAAGCTATTAAAAAAAATTTTTTTTTTGTAACTCTAAAATATAACTGCAGAGTTATAAATATAAGGTTATGCGTGTAGGGTTATTTATCAATTGATACTATATCTACTATGTATCAATTATTTATACATGTGTTGTGAGTGTGTGAATTTTTAGGCCATCTACCATATGCATAGCTCTGTTAGAATTGCTGTGTGCTTATTTTTAAAAGAAAATAATTTGCCTACCCAAATCTATTTGGATTTTTATTAGCATTGAAATAGAGTAAAGTTATTGACCTTAAGAAAAACCTTAATCAAATTTCTTTTCTTTTAATACGGTTAATGGTCAGATTAATAGCGTCTTTGATAATAGATTTATTGTCATATGTGTCTCAAATGTTTTTAAAGGACCAAATTTCAAATACTTCAAAAAATTTTTATTTTATAATGATTCGTTAACCCTAAGTAATGATTACTATTTTTCTTAGTTTTCTTGGGCTACCATAACAAAATACCACAAAGGGGTATCTTGGGGAACTTTACATCTGAAATTGTCCATTCTTCATAGGCATGTGTCTTATCCTTAGTGAACTTTCATTAACATTTTGTTGACATTTTCACCCACTCTATTCACATCTTTAAGGAGCCCTGGTGACTCAGTGCTTAAACGCTCAGCTGCTAACTGAAAAGTTTGCGGTTTGAACCCACCAGCCGGTCTGCAGGAGAAAGATGTGGCAGTCTGCTTCTGTAAAGATTACAGCCTTGGAGACCCTATGGGGCAGTTCTGCTCTGTCCTGTAGGGTTGCTGTGAGTTAAATTGACTTGATGGCTATGAGTTAATTCGTATCTTTACTGTTTTCATACTTCAGCTTTGACTGTGATGTGGGCTAGATGGAAAGGTTTTTTAATCCCAACTCTTTTCATAGCCTTGTATACCAGAGTAGAAGCTTTCCTCCCTCTCATTTTTGTACACCCAATTTCTGAGTGATTCTGCTTTGAATTACAGCTTGTTTTTCTCTT